CTTATTAAAGATGATGAATACAGTGAATGCATGTTCAGATTGGCATTAGTTCCTTTAAACTGGAGGAAAAGAAACTTGTGTGAACCTGTAAGTTCCATGGTACTGAAATAAATGCTGAAATTTTATCTTTTCTTTTCATTGTTTCTTTTCTCATGTTGGAGTTCTTTTATTCCAATAGTTTAATAGGTCAAGTCTCCTAAATCCACCCATCTCCGATTTCCAACTCTATGATCTACAGTCCTCATGTTCTTAAGTATTCAAGATGTCATGCATCAAGTAGTTTTTATTTTCCTTTCAGCAGTCGGAGGTATATGTAGGGACTATGGCTGCTGGCTGTAAAACGCATTTTTCCAAAATCACTTTTCCTACTCTGGAGTTAAGCAATTGTTTTCTTTGCTTGACACTGAAATTTTTTGCTTTCTGGAAGTTAGAGCAACAGAGCACCATGAAAAGAAGCTCATGATAAAGTAAACAGCAAGGAGATCTTACTACCAGGATACTCAGTGGCTGTGCATTTCCACAGTAACTCATGGGCAATATTCTGTGAGCATGGATATCGTCTGTGCTTGCTGTGTATTCCCTCTCTCCTAGACATCTACTTGTCATCTTTTTTTTGGAAACAGGATAGTGGTCTCAAATAGGTTTTGGTCTGAGCTAGTATAACCATTTGTAGGGTTAGGAAGATGAGAAATTTTACCTAACATGGAATTAATCAGTTACAGAAAGTTGATTGTTCCTAGAGCATCCTATCTTGGAGTCCAGCTTCCTGCTCCTACAAGTAGCTGCATTATTGTTCCCATTAATAATCACAAATAATAAGTTATTTATAATTATTCAAACTGAATAATACATAGGTCATATTCTTGTTTTGTTTGCATGTGGTGGTTTTGTTTGGTTTCACCCAACCACTCAGAATTCAGAATCTTTTCTGTCATAAACTTTCTGATTTCTAGATGTGTTTTCTTTTTTGTTTGATCTTATATTGACCTATGGCTTGGACAGTTCTCTCTAGGTGTTTGTTGCCAGGTACTGCTCTGTAATTAATGGGTGAGTATGCTCACTCTTAGCTCTCCATTCCACTAATTGTTTTAGGGACTTAGTGTCTACTTAGTTCCTGATAAATCACTCTTTCCCCCTCTCTCTGTTTGTTAATATCTGATCCCTTTGAAGAAAGGTAAGACTCTCAGTATAACAATTTTTCCTGGTGGGTGCACCAAGAAGAATCTCTTTCTTTCCTTTTTTTTTTTTTCCCCTCTGTCTGAGTCCAAAAAGTGACAAAAGTGTCCAAAGCAATCAGATTATTTCATCAGTGAGTTTGCAGCACCACAAGAGATTGAAACTCTGCTAAAACATCTGTTTCCTAACAGGTTAGGTTCATTATTCCTCAAATAAACTTCCAGAAAATGGCTTTGTGTCCTTACAGTAAGAATGCATCAGGTTGGAGATCAGGCTGACTGTTAAGTGCAAAAGTTAATGTTTTTTGTAAAGGCACAGTGCAGCCACCTGTGTGCTATTACACTGTGGAAATTAGTCATTTGTCTGGTATAGCTTTTGGTCTGACAAATTCTGGAGGTAATAAACCAATCCTCATTTTTGTGGGTTTTTAAGTCATCTTCTCTTCTCTCTCCACCCACAAATGCTATGCACATGCCTCTCTTAACCATGCTGGTTTTGTACTGTTGGCTGAACTTCCTCATATCAACTTGTAGAGTGGTTTGGGGTTTTTTCCTACCTACAAGATGAATTTCTGAGGAAGGAATTCAGTTATTCTTTATGCTTCCTTTGCTGTGTTTCTATACATTCAAGTTACAGACCTAAGCCTCGTATTGATTTTGATCCTTATATTCTTTTAATTCTTCATTTCTAGAATGAAGGAACAAAAATGGCTCCTTTTCATGGCTATATTTCTCCTTCTCCAAACCAGGAAAAAAAGCAGGCAATGCTTAAATCCAGTCAGTTTGATTTTTACATCAGTGTGCAATCCTTTCACTTGAAGAGAACCCCTTTTCAAAAGCCTAGCTGATTCGGCTGCAGCTGAGTAGATTTGTTGGTATCCAGATCGAGGATTAAAATGAAGCCTGCTCCTTGAAAATGTGCTGGTAGTCGTAGAGAGACCATGCCTTTTTTTTCTGTCTGTGAAGTGTTCCTTTTGCAGAGAAAGACCTGTTTCTTCTCTCTTTCTCCTGTTGGTGGAGAGGAACCTTGAAACAAGTCATGTTAGGAGAGTGGGCAAACTGAAGACAGCTAATGACCCTTCAGATCTGCTGGTTTTTGAAGTATATATCACATTTACATGCTTTTACATACTGCCTCCAACTGTATCTACCTTGAGCAGTGGAATGATTTGCCTCGCAATACTTTAAAGTCACAACCATGATCATCAGCTGCTGAGAGGAACGGGGTGTTTCATGCCATACAGCTGTCATTCTGGCTCTTTTTAGGTCAGTGGTGTAAAATAGTTGGTGTGGAACCCACCATGCCCCCATTTTGCCACCTTTTCTCATGTGTTGTCTCTAGTGCTGTTAAGGAGAGTGCTGAAACCTCTGAAGTTCAAGAGGCCTAGTACCTAAACCACTCCTAGATCATTCGTAGTTTGGCACTATGTCTATTGAAACATAGGCTTCTGGAAAATCAGGGAGAAAGTTTCTCAATCTGCTCAGACCTTGCCACCAACATTGGGTGTCATAAATACATTCCTCACTGAAGACTGTGGAGCTTTTTTCTATTTGTGAGGTTTTTTGAAAGAAAAACTTAACCTAAGGCCTGCAAGCAGCTTCATTAAATGCAAATCTCATGGGCGATAATCACAAATTGTGTTTTAACTAATAAATAAAGTAAAACTAGTTAATGTGCAACAACAGTATGAAGAGCTTGTCAGAGAGGGTTCCCTTTCTCCTGAGGAGGTTGGTGTACGTGCTTCAGCTGGAGAGTGAGGTGCTTGGTGGGACATTTCGGCCCAGCAGGGTGGCAACAGGAGCTTAAGAACACTGAGAATTAGGTGTCTTTGAGGTAAAATTTGCGGTAATTTGACTTTTCAGCTAAGCCTCTTTGAACTCATATGCAATGAAAAAGACTTGTGTTGCTGGTCGTTGGAACGCTGTGGAGGGTTTGTCTTTAAGAGCAACGAATCCAAAAGCGGTATTTTGAGGCATTTGCCGGGGTTTTCCTTTTCTGAATTGAGGGAGAATAAACGGGCGGCTGAGGCCCCCTGGTGCCACCAGAGCACTCTGCACGCCTCAGGCACAACGGCCACGTTATATTTACTTTTATTTTTAATACAAAGAGACACTTTTCAGGCTAAAATGCCTCATGATGTACGAATTTTTCACATGCGGTTGTTTCCTTGCTGGAAACGTGAATTCACCGTCATTTATTTTTCATGTCTGGTTTTGCAAAGCGGTGCAAAAAGTGAGAGGATTTTGTTCGCAACCATGAACGTTAATATTTGTGTTGCAGGCAAAAAGCTATATAGAAGAGCTGAAGGATTGTGAGGTACACTTTTTACCACAGTTGTGTATCTGCCCAAGGGTAACTGAGGGGAAGCACTGCACAGCTTGTGGTGTCTGACGCTGTGGTGTATCGTATAGCTTGGGGGTGGGAGAGATAGGGAAAAAAAAAGTGCCAAGGAGTAAGATGGTTGTGGGGGTTTGTTTTGTTTTTGTGGTCATTAGCCATGTGGTTTTGGTTGAATTGCTAAGACCTTGAGAATCACTTCCAAATGCCGTGATCTAAGATACAGCAGTGCGGACATACGTTAGAATGGATTCCCTTTGTGCTTAACATTTAACTTAAAAGTGTAGAATCACAATTATATTCAGTATATTCACAAGTGTAAAGTAGTACAGAGCTCTTCTTCTGGAAAAAAAGTTTAAGTCTAGAGCATAGCTCCGTGTAAGGTAACCTAATAGTGGCCTTAGGCTATTATTAAAACACCTCTTTTCAGTATTCCTGTGTTTTCCTAGTCCCAGAATTTGTTGGGATTGTGGCTTTTGTCAAAATCTAGCCATTTAATCTTGCGACAAATTTCTGGTATTCCATCAGATCTGAATAGCAGCTAATAAAGCTTTATTAAGGAAATTAATTTTGGTGTTTAGTCAGCTAGTTGGCTTGTCACTCTCGCCAGTCTGATTTTCCCGCTCTTTTTGCTGTTGCACAAATTTCCAATGAGTGAGAGAAGATGGCGAGCCTTGTCCAGGAAACTGTTGTATGTTACTCTTTTACAGTGAAATAAAAAAACTGGATATGTAAAGTTAGACCTCTATAAGGAGATATACTTGGTTTTCTGGGCATTTTGTAAACCAGTGTCTACAGAGGTAAAGCTGCCAAACAGATCTGAGGGGAAGTGAGTGGGAAATGAGGCGGGTAAAAAGTTAAAAGGAGTCTCTCTGGGTGACGTTAATCTGTGCTTTTTGTTCTTATTTTGAGTGCGCTTTGGAAGCCTGATACTGGTGATCTCTGTATAGATTCTTGTTTGCCTGTTCACAAAAACTTCTCTATAGGGCTATCAGTTCTTACAGTAAATGATAACTTGTAACAAAATACATAGTTATGCCAAAATGGTTTGGATGGTAAACTTCATTATTTCTTTCCAGAGACGGTCGCAGAGAAAATTTTATACTTTGTCACAATTTTCTGCTGTTTTTAAGGAGCAGTTCAGGGTGAAGAAGCCTAGTTGTGGGATACTGAGGAGTTGCATATGACAGTGAACATTCCCTACTATATTGAGAGTTGATCCCTTACACTGTTCTGGAATTGTAAATGTCTCACTTCTGTTTGGAATAGCTGTGGAACAGTACATTTTTGTGGGATACTGAGGAGTTGTATATGACACTGAACATTCCCTACTATATTGAGAGTTGATCCCTTACACTGTTCTGGAATTGTAAATGTCTCACTTCTGTTTGGAATAGCTGTGGAACAGTACATTTTTACAAATTAAAAAGGGAAATGTTCTGTATAACCATATAATATATTCTCTTTTTTTTTTTTTTTTTTTCCAGTTCTTCAAGGATCTTATGCATAGCATATGAGGTTTTGCAAGGTTTGCAATATATGAACAAACATGGAATGGTCCACCGAGCACTCTCCCCTTGCAATATTCTTTTGGATCGAAAGGTACAACTACAGGAATAAATCTGTTACGTTTTTGTTTTTTCTTCGTGCTACTAACAATTAGTATGCTATGTTGTATATGGAGACTGGGCAGGCACAGTCCTTCTTGTTGGAAAAATTTGCGTATCTAGAAAGGTGTTGGGTTTGGGTTTTTTTTGTTTGTGGTTTTTTTGTTTGTGTTGTGGTTTTGTTGTTTTTTGTTTTTTAAAAAGCCATGGTTTTCCTCCATTTCCTAAATTTCAAATGTATTTCAGATTTTATTTTTCACTTCTCCCACTGTTTTCTATCCCAAACCACTTTTTTCACCCTTTTCTCCTTAAGGTGATTCTCCTTGTTGTGATTGCAGTTACTTAAAAGACCTTCCTAGGTGTTTGAATAGGAAAATATTTTTTCTGGCTGATTAGCTGTTAATAGTATTTCCTGTGTTTCATTGTGATCTGATACTTGACTTTCAAGAAACCAACATTTTTCTTTGTTCATGTTAAACTATTAAAATTCCAGTGTCTGTCAACTCTGATGTCACAGACTATTGAGTTGGCAGTGTGGAACACAGGGTCTGTTCATAAAAGCTGAGAGAAATTAATAGCTGATGTTGTACTCAGAGCAATGGCATCATCTAACTGACAGCTCAGCCTGTCTTCATAACCTCTCTCCTCCTTCTTGCTCAGTTTAGATAGAATAGCTAGATCCTGGCCTTAGAAGGTAGAAAGAAAAGAGGAAAAAGGAAAGAAGGAAGGAACACTTTTTTTTTTCTTTTTTTTTTTTTAAATATATACTTGGAAACAAATAAACAAGCAAAAGAACTTTAGGATTTTAAGGTAGTCCTAAAATCAATAAATAAGAAAAAGGGTCCACGAGACCATAAACTTTTAAACTTTTCCCTTGCACTTTGAATAGCTTGCTGATGTAGCCTTCACTGTTGCACCATCTACAGGCTAGCTGAGTGTAATTCAAAATCCAGCAGAAACAATACTCACATTTAACTTCTATGCCTAATTTTTGTTGCTTTGATGTTAACTTTCTGCTTCCTCAGACTAAAAGCAGGCACCTGGAAAACTTGTTTGTTTGAAGAAATATGTGTTGATATAGTTAAGGAGAGCAAGATAGTAATGAGTTGATGGGAAGGACTGGGGGAGCAAGGAAAGGGTGAATGGAAAAGATGAGGGAATAGTGGCAATGCTTAGGGAATTCTAGGGTTCAAACAGGACTTTGAACAATTTTCAAACAGGAAAAATGTTCAATAGAGTATTTAAGCATTTTTAATTTACTGGAAATATACTGCAACTTAACAAAGTTCTGATTTTCTTGTGTGTTCCAGACAAGGTAATTACTTGGAAAGTAAGATCTTGGAAAGTAAAAGCATTAGAAATAAGCAGCTTTTTAACTTGCAGTGGAGTTCTTCATAATAGATGGGACAGAAATGTAAGAGGGTGACTTTTTATATGTATCTGTCTTCTGATAGCTGATGCAACTTGAAATTATTATTATTATTTTAACTTAAACACAGACTCTTCCAATGTTGGATTTTGCTGCTCTTGATCATTTATTTTTTCCTTGCCAGGGACATGTGAAGTTGGCTAAATTTGGACTCTACCATATGACTGCTCAAGGTGTTGATGTTGATTTCCCTATAGGGTAAGGATGTAGCTACACAATACAAATAGGTCAGGATGTATTTTTTCAGGAAATATAATTATGTTTTGAGGAATCATCTTTGAAGATGTGTTGTATGCACAGGTTATAGGTTGCTGTTCTCATTCATATCTGTTGCGTACACCCCTTATACAGAAGCCTCTGATAATGTCACTGATGAGGTTGTCATCTGGCTAGGTGAAATTAATGAAAGACAGAGAATAAGTACCATCCAGGCACATTACTGTAATTATGTGATGTCAGTCCTTATTGCTTATATTTGTCTTCAAGTGCTAGTAGCTCCCTGTGACTTAGATTTGGGAGCTACAGTCTAATTTCAAATTTAGGAAAAAAGGGACATGTGAAGTTGGCTAAATTTGGACTCTACCATATGACTGCTCAAGGTGTTGATGTTGATTTCCCTATAGGGTAAGGATGTAGCTACACAATACAAATAGGTTAGGATGTATTTTTTCAGGAAATATAATTATGTTTTGAGGAATCATCTTTGAAAATGTGTTGTATGCACAGGTTATAGGTTGCTGTTCTCATTCATATCTGTTGCGTACACCCCTTATACAGACACTTCTGATAATGTCACTGATGAGGTTGTCATCTGACTAGGTGAAATTAATGAAAGACAGAGAACAGGTACCATCCAAGCATGTTACTGTAATTATGTGATGTCAGTCCTTATTGCCTAGATTTGTCTTCAGGTGCTAGTAGCTCCCTGTCACTTAGATTTGGGAGGTACAGTCTACTTTCAAATTTAGGAAAAGGCACAATCAGTGTTTTGCTATTGCACACCACCATAGGCCTCTTGTTTCTTTACAATATTGTAATTTATTTTCAAGTGATCTTACTGTCTAGCCAAAGTAACATGTTTTTTTGCAGTGTTTCCTTGCTACTTTTTATTGTTTTGAGGTGTTATGTTGTTTACAATTGAAATACTGAGCTGATTCTTAAAGACTTGCCCAAAATAAGTAATGATGTTTCCCTTCAAAAGGTGATTTTGGATATTATTTTTTTTGGTAGTATTATAATGAATTGTTGACAGACAAAGCAATAATGTTATTTTAAAATAATCTAGTAGCAGGTAGAATATGTCCTCAACACCTTTAGGTACTTTTTTTATACATTCAAAAGTTATTTGATGGTAACACTGTCACCACGTCTAAATATGGGTCTAGGATACATTCATTAATGTACTAGTACTTAACCTCAATATATGTTTTATTTGAGATATGTAGACATACTATTTTGAAAGCTGCTGTTAGTTCCTCTCACAAAAAGACTTATACATTCAAAAGTTATTTGATGGTAACACTGTCAATGGAGGAGAATATTGTCACCACGTCCAAATATGGGTCTAGGATACATTCATTAATGTACTAGTGCTTAACCTCAATATATATTTTATTTGAGATATGTAGACGTACTATTTTGAAAGCTGCTGGTAGTTCCTCTCACAAAAAGACAGAGCTAGTGATTAAGATTTGACTTTTTATGTAGCAGGCACTATGTATTTTGCAACTGGACTGAAACTTTGCTGTGATGCGTAGATTTTGACTAAGTAAAATAGAACAATCTGCATTGCTATGAATTCTAATTTCTCAGGATACAGAATGACTTTGATTACTGTAACTGAAATGTAGGTTTTTTGGACAGACAGAATATCACATTCAAAAGTTATTTGATGGTAACACTGTCAATGGAGGAGAATATTGTCACCACGTCCAAATATGGGTCTAGGATACATTCATTAATGTACTAGTGCTTAACCTCAATATATATTTTATTTGAGATATGTAGACGTACTATTTTGAAAGCTGCTGGTAGTTCCTCTCACAAAAAGACAGAGCTAGTGATTAAGATTTGACTTTTTATGTAGCAGGCACTATGTATTTTGCAACTGGACTGAAACTTTGCTGTGATGCGTAGATTTTGACTAAGTAAAATAGAACAATCTGCATTGCTATGAATTCTAATTTCTCAGGATACAGAATGACTTTGATTACTGTAAGTGTAATGTAGGTTTTTTTGGACAGACAGGATATCATTTAATGTTGCTCCATCTTCCTAGGTACCCATCATATCTGGCACCTGAAGTCATTGCACAGGGAATAGTCAAACCAAGTGATTATACTCAGTGTGAGAAGCCTCTGCCTTCTGGCCCTAAATCAGACCTGTGGTCTCTTGGTATAATATTGTTTGAGCTTTGCATGGTATGTAAGAGGATAATTCTCTTGATTGTGATTCGTAAGGAATAGTTACATTAACTTCACTGCTGTTGAGTAGGAGGTTAATAACACGTTGCCCATCACCTGAGTCCAAATACCAGAGTATGTTAGCATTCCTACCTAGACCTACTGAGCCAAGAAGTATCTCTAGATAAGTTTTTTGGTTTACTTGTGCTTTCAAGCACGAAATAACTGTTGCTTCATGCCTTCCTCCTCCTTGCAAAGGATGAGAAACTACTAAAATTTCATAGAGAGGATGAGAAGGGAGAATTTTCCTTATCAGAGTTTAAAGAGCTGTACGGAATTAAAGGTTTATTTGGAAGATGCTTAACTAAATTGCCAAGCAATTGCATGGTCAAGAACATGTTTTATATAGTGGTTAAATAGGGACATTGGAAATAGTTGTCTTTTGCATATTATGCTCTTCTCTACATTTGCATAGTGTGCATAGTTCATTATTTATTCCTATGAATAAGTACATTTTCTTAAAAATGTAATAATGATACCTTTTGAAACACCCTTAAAGGGATTTTCAGGTGTGCAGTGATACTTTTCACTGTGCCATGATACAAGCTAGGATGGTCACCCTCCTCCTTGCAAAGGATGAGAAACTACTAAAATTTCATAGAGAGGATGAGAAGGGAGAATTTTCCTTATCAGAGTTTAAAGAGCTGTACGGAATTAAAGGTTTATTTGGAAGATGCTTAACTAAATTGCCAAGCAATTGCATGGTCAAGAACATGTTTTATATAGTGGTTAAATAGGGACATTGGAAATAGTTGTCTTTTGCATATTATGCTCTTCTCTACATTTGCATAGTGTGCATAGTTCATTATTTATTCCTATGAATAAGTACATTTTCTTAAAAATGTAATAATGATACCTTTTGAAACACCCTTAAAGGGATTTTCAGGTGACTTTTCAAAAGTGTGCAGTGACACTTTTCACTGTGCAATGATACAAGCTAGGATGGTCATCATGTTTAGTAATTTATTAGAGTTTTTGAAAGCCTGCTAGTGAATTAATAATAAACCTGCAGGTTTGCTGTGGCAGCTTGGGGCATTGTTTTGCATTATTTTATTTGGGTTTGCATTTGATCAAGATAAGAGATGTCATAAATGGTACATATTTTCTTTATGATGGCATGAAACAGTTTCTGCTATAGTTGGGATAAATTCTAATAGATAGTTTTCCCAAATCTAAAATTCATATTTAGAAACTTTTTTCACTGTCTTTGTATATAGATGTGTGTGTATGCTATCTAAATATTTTAAGTGGTAGTATTCAACTGTTGATTTGATTTTGTTATCAATTTAGGGGAGAAAATTGTTCCAGAGTTTGGAGATAGCAGAAAGATTGAAATTTATAATTATGTTAGGTAAGTAGCACAAAATAAATTTAAGTTTCCAAGCATCTCTATATTTAGAGCTTTACAGACTAGTCGACTTGTGATGCTCAGACCTAAGGCACTTTACCTTTTTCATCTTTCATTTCCAGAATTAAATAGCATTTGGGCCATGGTTGCTTGTCTAGAGAAGCTACAGAGGTGGGTGCCAGGAAAAATAACTTTGCAGAAGAGCTATGAGAATGTCAGAGTAAGGGCAAACTATAAAAAAAACATACTCAGGAAACATTGTCATTTTGATGGTTACTGTTTTGTGTTGCAGGAGGTTTCTGAAATGAGTGAGGAATTCTGTGACACTAAAGAAAACTGTCACTGCACTAGCAGTGTTTGTGTACCAAATTAAGTTTCCAAGCATCTCTATATTTAGAGCTTTACAGACTAGTCGACTTGTGATGCTCAGACCTAAGGCACTTTACCTTTTTCATCTTTCATTTCCAGAATTAAATAGCATTTGGGCCATGGTTGCTTGTCTAGAGAAGCTACAGAGGTGGGTGCCAGGAAAAATAACTTTGCAGAAGAGCTATGAGAATGTCAGAGTAAGGGCAAACTATAAAAAAACATACTCGGGAAAGGTTGTCATTTTGATGGTTACTGTTTTGTGTTGCAGGAGGTTTCTGAAATGAGTGAGGAATTGCATGACACTAAAGAGAACTGTCCCTACAATAGTAGTGTTTGTGTACCAAATCCCAAGCAGGGGGAAGCAGGACTCAAATAGGAAGACAGAAAATAAAAAGAGGGCTGAGAAGCGTTTTATTTGATCCAGGCTTTTGTTTCTGGCTTCACCTGCAACTATAAAACATTACTGGAGAGGTGGAATTTCTGCTTAATGTAAATGAGTCTGGAAGTGGGACTATTTTGTGGATTTTAAAACTTGATTTCTTGTGGGGTTTATTTATAAGCCACAGGTGGGTGCCAGGAAAAATAACTTTGCAGAAGAGCTATGAGAATGTCAGAGTAAGGGCAAACTATAAAAAAACATACTCGGGAAAGGTTGTCATTTTGATGGTTACTGTTTTGTGTTGCAGGAGGTTTCTGAAATGAGTGAGGAATTGCATGACACTAAAGAGAACTGTCCCTACAATAGTAGTGTTTGTGTACCAAATCCCAAGCAGGGGGAAGCAGGACTCAAATAGGAAGACAGAAAATAAAAAGAGGGCTGAGAAGCGTTTTATTTGATCCAGGCTTTTGTTTCTGGCTTCACCTGCAACTATAAAACATTACTGGAGAGGTGGAATTTCTGCTTAATGTAAATGAGTCTGGAAGTGGGACTATTTTGTGGATTTTAAAACTTGATTTCTTGTGGGGTTTATTTATAAGCCACAGGGAGGGCAAGGACATGAATTTGCAATTTGAAGCTTTATCAGTAATACCAAATCCCAAGCAGGGGGAAGCAGGACTCAAATAGGAAGACAGAAAATAAAAAGAGGGCTGAGAAGCGTTTTATTTGATCCAGGCTTTTGTTTCTGGCTTCACCTGCAACTATAAAACATTACTGGAGAGGTGGAATTTCTGCTTAATGTAAATGAGTCTGGAAGTGGGACTATTTTGTGGATTTTAAAACTTGATTTCTTGTGGGGTTTATTTATAAGCCACAGGGAGGGCAAGGACATGAATTTGCAATTTGAAGCTTTATCAGTAAGTTATTATTATCCAGAGCAAATAGTAATACTGTTAAAGCTAGTTACTGCCAGTAGAAACACCTTTCTGTCTGCATAGGTGATGATAATTTTCATTTCTAATTTTGAGAATTTGTTTTCAGGTCATGTGGCATTATCAATAAAAAGTCCAAGTGAAGTGATTTTTATTGGGGCAGACTTTTAATTCGCAGACATACTCTAGATTTACTAAGCCTTCAAAAAATTTTCACTGTTAAATTAGATGTGCTACTTAACTTTCTTAGCCTTCAATTTTCTGTCTGCATAGGTGATGATAATTTTCATTTCTAATTTGTTAAAAGCAAGTTATAAAATACTGCTAGCATTATCTGCAAGTAGCAACAAAATGAAAATTGTTCTGAGCTTCTATATGCAGAGTTCTCTCAGGGATTTTTTTTTAATTTTTTTTTAGTAAGTGGAAAGACTGTTATAATTTATTTCGCAGACATACTCTAGATTTACTAAGCCTTCAAAAAATTTTCACTGTTAAATTAGATGTGCTACTTAACTTTCTTAGGCTTCAATTTTCTGTCTGCATAGTTGATAATAATTTTCATTTCTAATTTTGAGAATTTGTTTTCAGGTCATGTGGCACTGTCAATAGAAGTGATTTTTATTGGGGCGGGTTTTTATCTGATATCCTGTTTAATTGGTATCACTTTTTGCTTAGTCTTTAACTTTTTATTGTTCTGTTTGCTTTTCAAAGGCTGCGTAGATGACATTGTGACTGTATTGGCTGAAGAACACGGTTGCCTTGATATTATTAAGGTTTGTGGACCTAGTTTGCTTTTCCAAGCACTATGTATACATATATATTAACTTATTTGGTCATTTAACATATGAGGAAAAATTTTTGAAGTCTGGACTACATATCTTAAGATTCTTTCAAATAGTCAGTATTGGTAATACTCATTCTGTCATAAAACTACTGTCAATATCGGTAAACGTTAATACTCTCTGGATAGTTTAATATATTTATAAGTTTCTTTAAAGTTTTAGGGGATAAGTATTTTTCTTCTAGAAATTCAGTCATCTCTCTGGTCCACTTTACATGTTCTGATAGCGTAGGTTTATACAGTTCAACCCCCTCCTCACCCCCAAAATTAATCACTGAATTTTACTGTCTGTATATTTTGAGACATTGTGTAAAAGGATTCTGACTGTTATCAGAAGGAAGTTCCCAGATACTGCATTATTTCAAGCTGGGTACAGAGTATCTAAATTAAAAAATAAAAAGGTGCATACATTCCAAATTTTTTCTGACTGTTTTTTCCCCCAAAGCAAATGCAGGGGTGGAGGGTGAGAAGAATTAGCTCCCCAGCATTTTGGTGTGACACAGCTAACCTCGTATGTGTAGGTGTGGAATCTTACTGCCCTCAAAGGAACAGCCTGTATGTTAAAAGTGAAGTATGAACTAAGTGGCTTGCTCAATTAAGATAGTACTAAACAGACTTCCTTCATACTTTTTTAATGTTCCAGGACCTTTCTGAAACTATCTTAGCTCTACTGAAGAAATGCCTTACATTCCAGCCTTCTAAAAGGTAAGTGTTCAGTCCAAATGCCCAGTAAACTCTGCTGGGATACTATGAAATTAGAAGTCCTGTTGCTGAACCTTTTTTGGAATACTGACAATTTGTGCTACCTAACTGTAAGAAATTCTTGGTTTTGTTGCTTTTCAATGTCTAAAGGAAAAGAATTAGTGGGGTGTGGAATCAAGTGTGCAAAACATTGAGATTGAACCTGTTTGAAAACTATTCAGGCATTTGTAGTTCTAAATTCACAGCTTTTACCAGTTTCAGGTCTGGATGGTGGTGGTGGTTACTATAGCTCTGTTGTAACCAGAATTAGGGCTGCTTTCTTCAAGTCTCTTCTTTCAAAGTACTTTTTCATTATGTCAGTCCACCACAGCTTTCTTCCAAAAACTAAACTATTCTTCTGTTCTTTATTCTAAGACTTGCATTTGCGTTTTTCCATTTCTGCTTAGAGGAATTAAAAGGTAATTAATGGAATAGTTGCTATGTGCATTAAATGAAGTTGAGATCTGAACTTGGGCTGTAAACAGACTGCATGTGTTATGCATCATGAATGGAACAAAATTAGTTGACATTTTTTGCTATTAAAATTTCTGAAATCCAATATAATTGAGAATAAGTTGCTATTATTTGTTACCGGGGACATTTCTTACTGATATGTAATGGTTTTGGAAGAACTTTACTCTTAGTGTTTTATTCTCTTTTCTTAATTCAAGGCCAACTCCAGAGGAATTGCTACATGACAGTTTGTTCAGTGAAGTATCCTTACTATATCCTCCCTTCCACAAACCTGTTGGTCTGTTCTCATCTTCTCCAAGGTGTGCTGATTTAACGCTTCCTGAAGACATAAGTCAATTATGTAAAGGTAAAAGCAGGTAGTTGGATAAATGTCACGGGAGGGGGAAGGAATATAAAATGTTTTCACATTTTCTTTGAATACATTGGAGACAAACTGTCAAATATATCAATACTACGTTCTTTTAATAAGTTTTTTAATGGGCAGAGATATGAGTAAACATGTTTTGATGGATGTCTGCAAGTTAAAGGAGGGCATTTTGATTTTGTGCTTCAACCTCAGGGAATAAATAGGTATCGCTAGTATTCCAAGTCCACCTTGGAATATCAGTTTTACCTTTTGCCTTTAGAATTTGGACATGTGCATGTACAAGGTACTTTTCACTAAACTTTGTTGTGAATTGGTAATTGAATTCTGCTGGATCATAGCATGACATGATTTTTGGAAATATTGGAAACCTAAATCCTTGTGAAAGAGGTCACGTTCTAGAATAAAAGACGACATTTACAAGTTTTGAACTATGGCATGCTGAAAGTGTTACCACTTTTAAGTCCTCATTAACTTTTTCTGATGAACTCAGATTTCTACATGTTTAGAAAATATCATTATACGTTTTTTAGAAATTAAGATTTTATAACTTGTTAGTATGGGAATGGTATGTGAGGGGAAGATAGATTGTAACTACTCAGTATGAATCACTAGTTTCCTATTTTTACACTTTGTGCTGTGTTGTGTACAAAATAGGGGTTGTTTGGTTTGTGTGTGTTTGTTTTTAAAGACACACAGCAAGCATAAAGCCACACTTCAATGTATTTATCTGATTAATTCTATTTTCTGGCACCAAGGCAAACAGCAGAACTATTGTGCTTTTTTTCTGACTTCTGCCCATCTGCTCTTTCCTTAGATCTTCCTAAAGGGCACTTGCAAAGGCAAGATCACTTTTCCTCTAACTTCACATTAAGGTCTACGACCTTTCAGACATAATATTTTTCTTTTTTTTTTTTTTCCCCAACAATATGTGTTTAGAGTGGTAGGAAGAAATACAAACCACCTAGGAAACTGCAAGGCATTTTTATGTGGTTTCTCCTATTAGATGAAGATGGCGATTACCTGGCAGAAAGATCAATTGAAGAGGTTTATTATCTCTGGTGTTTGGCTGGAGGAGACTTGGAGAAAGAACTTGTCAACAAGGAGATCATTCGATCAAAGCCACCTGTCTGCACGCTTCCCAAGTAAGGAAGGAGAAGCACTTCAAGGGAAACGAGGATGGATGGAGAAGGCCAGTGATTCTGAGAGAACATTTTGGCTTGGTTTTTAGTTTCAAGACCTGTATGTGTGAAAAATATTTAAAATACCTTTCTTGAACAGCAGGAAATCATGTCACTTCCTCTCTTACCCAATTTAAGGCATTATTTGAATGCCTTTTATCTGTCACCTACCTGCACTTCATATTGCTTTCTGAAATTTGAAGAAGTATAGGTGAAGTGCAAAATACTGAACTGGAAGTCCCTGAATGTAGCACACTTTCCAATAGCATTAAGTTTTAGTAAAAATGTCTCACTGTGCTTCAACAGCATATTTGTAATTATAGTTTAATATATCGTGTAGCAAATTCTCACATTCTGAATTCACTTTCACAGAGTAGCAGTGCTGAATGGTCAACCCAATTATTTGGTAGATCAGCTGATTACTTTTTTTTTTTTAAAATGTATGTTTTTGTGACTTAGAATTCTGTAATAGCATTTTAATGATTACTACTTTTATCTTACTGCTGCACATGTTGCAATTTTATGTAGTATATTCATGTTTTAGTCCTACAATCTGATCTTAATAAGCATGATTATGTGTCCATATAGATCAATTTGTTGCTTCTGGGTTTTAAAACCACAAGAAGTCAGCAATGCAATATCTTTTTTTTTTTTAAAGTCACATTTTAGTGGTAAAATTTTGACACCAATTTGGTGTGAAATTTTGAGGATTGCCTATTTCTGTACCCATAGTGAATGCATGTGCTTTCTAATTAGGAGGGGAAGACATTTTTTGTCATACTATCTGTCTTGAAGATGAGTTGTTAATTTTAAAAATGCCATATAACTCCATCTTCTAAGTTAGTGAGAAGTTAGAGAGTGTTAGCTTAATTTCTGGAAATCAATTTCATACTGGCTGCTTTAAAAATATCACCAAATAGGCAATTCACATATACTCTTTCTTGAATGCATTTGTATCCTTAGATGGACTAAAACAGAAAAGGTCTGGGTCAGACTTTTGCTTGTTTTTTTGTCATAGTGAGAAATAGATTTCATTTGACAATAGTGTTTTATTTTTGCTTTTCACAATAAATGGCAGCCCTGGTCTGTGCCCAGGTCAAGGCATAAAAGGGAATATTAAACTCCTATCTTATTACTCTTCCTTTGTGTGCAAACCAAAGTTATAGCAAACCTGAAATGTGCCTTTTTACAGCAAAAGCTGTTTGAATAATTTAGGGTGATTGCACATCCCTTGATAGCGTGTTTCATGCCGTGCAGTCAATACAGTGTACTTCTAAGAGCTACTATTTTGTTTTAAAGAGGGAGCTCACTGATGTAAGAATTTTCTATTTTTTTTGTAACTCGACTCTTATGTTATAAAATGACCTGAATTTTTTTTTTTTTCTCTCATTTGAAGCTTTTTATTAGAAGATGGTGAGAGCTTTGGGCAAGGACGAGATAGAAGTTCCCTCCTAGATGACACAACTGTGACTTTGTCTCTGTGCCAGCTCCGAAACGTAAGAAGAATATTGTGTGCTTGTTCTTATGCCTTCACTGCAGAAACATTTGTTTAAAGGGAATATGGAACAGCAGCTCCTAAGGCTGTTCCTACAAATGAATGTGTTACTGATTCCAAGAGAACACTCTTGGCATCTGAGTCAGATTCTGAATGATGCTATTAAAGTGCTTTGCAAAATCTTACTAAATTTGGTTTATCTCCTGCCCCTCCATCCCATTCCTGTGTCATTCCCTTTGCTTATTTTCTTTACCAGCTTTGTTCTGGTGTAGCACAAATAGTTCTGTAGAACCTGATATTCTCCACGATTGCTAAACTAATAGGACAGTGAGTGTCTTTTTGTATTCTTTACTTCCTTTCTATATCTAGCTCACAATACTCAAAAGAAAGATCAACTCAATTCAGTTGTAGCTCCTTAAAGGCTTTATACTTAAAGCTGGATAACAGGTTTCCAGTAGTTAATTAGTAATCTTTGGAGGATATAGCTGTTAAACAACTAGTTGAAAAGATCACTTCACTTCAAAACATCTTGCCAAAATGTAGTAGTGCAGTTTTCTTCCATCTTTGGTGGGAAAGTCAACATAAGATAATTCATAATTTTGATGTCATGATCAATTACAAGATTTACTGCATACATCACTGAAATGTTTTAATTATTCACGTCTTTGCATATGTAGACATTTATTGCTGTAGAATTAGAAATATATGCTCCACTGTTTACAGCTTGCATTTTCTAGTAGCAAATGGTATTCTGTCATAGTCTTTATAAAAAAACCTTTCCAGATGATCACAGGGATTAATACAGAAAGGAAGGTAATTCCTGAAATCTTTATCTCTGCCACCATTATCTTAATTTTGTGGGCAATGTGGCAAATACTATGTAAACATATTTCTTCAGTAGAACTTTGCATTACTTCACAAAAATGCATGAGAACAGACCAAAGAACTGAGTTACTTTCTTTGCTTGCTTGGTGGGGTTTGGGGGGTGAAGGGGAGGCTAAGAATAAGCAACTGCTATTTTAAAGGTAATACACACGGCAGCTCCCACTGTTGTGTCTAAAAAAGGGCAGCTTTTAAGGCCTTTTAAATTTTTTTAATCTGTAATTTTTGGCTATTGCTGCCTGCTTCTGTAAATAGAGGAGCAAATAAGTATATACTGAAGTTTCATTTTGAGGAAGATAGAAGCCTGAGTCTTACAGTGTTAGTTGAAATATATTTTTTTGAACTTATGCAATTCTTCAAACACTTTTCACAGAGCAGAGCATAATGCTTATAATCAAAAGAGGATCAGTACTGAATGAACTGAGACTGAACTGCTCTGTCAATCCCCGGAGGAACAGGCTGTGTGCCGTGTGCCTTTAAGTTAGGGATTGAACTGCAGAACAGAGCACTCCAGGGAGGATGGTATTAAACATTAATCACCATGCACCAAAGATGTCTGAAAACTTCAGGCAAAAGTCCAGGCATGCTTGTCTGTCACCTTTCCAGAGAGTCTCTGTGTTTCTGTGCAGCTTTCAGATGCTGCTACTAAAAGGATCTCAAATTAGCATAACTCTTGAACTGATTAAAAACATAAAACCAAGTTGTGCAGTTGCTTTGCAGCTACTTGGATAGGAGTTCCACATAGAAAACAGAGGAAAAGAGAAAGAGCTATATAATATTATTGATCTATTAATCCATGGCCAGTAGAAACTACTTTTTGTGTAGAAATAGGTTTATGAATGAGTGTTATCTTCAGGCAGAAGAACTTCCATAAACTCAAAAGGCCTGTATTAGCAAAAGTTTTTAGCGTTGAAGGCTGTATGGTTTTTTGCTGATGGAGGACTGAGCTAATGCTTAAATCTCAAGGCAAGCTACGAAAATTAGCAAATGAATTGCTAATTAATAGTTTTCATATTTCACTAAAAATTTCCGCTTGAATTCTGAGCGGCGTTCTGATAATGAATTATTTTTATTCTTAATTTCAGAGACTGAAGGATGTTGGTGGGGAAGCATTTTATCCATTGCTTGAAGATGAGTAAGTGTGTGTTTAAGTTTGTACGTATATAACTAGCTGAATTTTGAGTTCTTAGTTTTGAGTGGCACACTGCACAGCTATACACAGCTCTCTTCCAACAGGAAACCTAACGTGTCCTTCTTTGGCTCTTAGAGTCAACAAGAGCTGATAAGCACTCTGCATTGGTGAACTTAGGGCCCTGATACCAAACTGAGGATCCTGACCTGTTTCTCTGGTCTGGAAATCAAGTATTTTTGCTGAATATTCAAAATTATCCATTTATACTTGTTTCTGACTCAGAAATGCATCACGGGATGTTAATTTTTTTCACAATGATTTCCATTTCTTGCTATTCACTGCTACTCTCCTGACTCTTTTTCCAGCCAGTCAACTTTACCTCATTCAAACAGTAGTAATGAGCTGTCTGCAGCTGCCAGTCTTCCTCTGATCATCCGGGAGAGAGACACAGAATACCAGCTAAATAGGATTGTCCTGTTTGACAGGCTATTGAAGGTAAGGAATCTTTCTGATGCTGGATAATTGGATTTGGTCTGTTAATTAGAGGTTTTTTAAAGGACCAAATAATTGAAAAAGGAAACCAAGATACAAGAGACCACGGTAGGAAAGGGGGAAGAAAACCCTACAGAAATATATGAATATTGAAAATAAAAGTATGAGAAAGTGGTAATGAATATAAAAGCAGATTTTAAAGTATGCACATGAAAACAGAGCTAATACCTGCTGTTTACTGAAGAAAATACTTCTGCATCCTGTATTTCATAACAGTCTAAGCTATTATAGCCTGTAACATTTCTGCATTCCCAAGCAGTAAGGTACCTGAAAACAATACCAGTCTTGACTGTAGCAGTGCCATGTTAGAAGTACAAGTTTTATACCAAGAGAGAAAAATTCCTATGGGGTGTTCTTGCTTAAGAATGAGAGAGCTGATGCACATCATCAAGTGTAGTACTCAGGAAGGTTTAAGGTAGAAATGTTTAATAAAACAAATTTGGATACATAGTGTGAAAAGAAACATATAATGAAGAAAAAACTTTTAATAAAAATTTGGATTAGTAAATTTATTTATCCTGTATATACAAAAGCACATCCATACATTTATGAGAAGGAGTGGGTGAGTGAGTATTTTAACATTAAACGGCAGTCTTCCATCTAGGCTTTCCACTTAGGAATGAAATTTTCTTGTTCTAAAACTTGCATTCACTGTTCAACCTGACAGCACTTGTTCTTTGGGACAAAGATTGTCCCAGGACTGAGCTTTGAATTGTTTCAGTTACACTGTAACATGTTTTTGATGTTAATCTCTTCTCTTTGAAGGCCTACCCATATAAGAAAAACCAAATTTGGAAAGAAGCCAGAGTTGACATCCCTCCTCTTCTTAGAGGCATAACCTGGGCTGCCCTGTTGGGTGTTGAGGTAAGGGTAATGGGAGGGCATTGGCAGAAGTTCCAGTACTTACTGGGGAGGGAATGAGAGAGGAATGGGATTAACAGGGAAGCTGGAATGGATTTGAAGATTTAGCAGGTAGAATTACTGGAATTTGGGGGAAAAAAAAAAGTCATGAAATTGTATGGACAAAGGCAATGACGATGTTCAGACAAACTTACTTCTTGTCTGTAGTGTTACTTGTTTTCAGAGAATGTATGTAAACTTAACTGCTAGGATGTTTAAATACAATTGGTAGTTAACAGTTTGGTTTTATTTTTAGTATTTTTTGACAAATGCATTTAGAATCCTTCCGCTCCTGTCAGCAGCAGCTGGGCAAAACAGGATGAAACACATCAAACGTATTTTTCTCACCTACCAGTCGATGCACTTCCTTCAAAAACTGGAGAAAAATAAATTAAATGTAACCTTTTTGCACAAAAGTCTAGAAAGGAATGTCCCAGAAACAAGGATTCCTTACAGAGATTGCTTGACTGCCCAGCTTTTGCATCTACCCTGCTTGCCATCTGCAGTAGGGCAGCAAAGAGGTTCTTACGAATGGCACGTACCAGGTTATTTAGGCTGTATAGCTTAGGATGTGATCTGCTGTGTGCTATGTAATATAACCCAAAAAAAAGCTGTAAAGGTAAAGAACAAGTGCTGGTCAGGGTTGTAGCCTGGGTCTTGGGAGATGAGTCATTTCTCATGCTTCATCAGCATACCATCTGTACGATGTAGTTCCCCTGTCCCGTAACATTAAGATGGACTTGTTACTATGCCTGTCTTGGGATTCTTGCAAGCACAGGCTACTTGAGAGTGTTGTGTTATATACTGGTAATATCAGTATCAACTAACAGGCAGCTGGATCAGCCTTTAGAGAGATGATCCTAGTGGCTGAGGTAAGCATTGAATTTAAACTGAGAGCATCTCTTAACGTGAAAATGGAAAACTGTTATCAAGTTCATAGCCATAAACAATTCAAAATCACTGAAGGTCATACTGAGGAGGTCACAGAAGGGTCTGTGTGTCCTGAATTATAACAAAAATAAGATGGTTTTGTTAAAGTTCTGCTGTCATAATTTTTTGTACTTTGGGAAAAAAAAGTTGCGAACTAAAGCACCTAACAAAACCAGTCAATTTCTGTGTATCAGTGTGTGCATTGTAATACTATGTTAGTAAGAGCTTTGTAAATTGAAGTCATCTTTTTCCATGTTTAGGGTGCCATACAAGCAAAATATGATGCCATTGATAAAGACACGCCAATTCCTACAGACAGACAAGTAAGTTTTCTGATGTTATCAAATATCATCACTTGACATAACGCAAAGATTTTTTTCTGCCAGTTGCAGTCATTTGACTATTACATCAGATGTGGCTGATAGTACTATAAGGCTTCCCCTGGTCCTCTAACCTTACTCATGCTGTAGCAAGAATCTTGCAAAGCAGATAGGAACAAGTCATTTAACTCAAATTATGTTATAACATGAAAGTGAAATCCTCTTTTTACTTCAGAATCACTGTTTCTGTAGTAGCAAAGTGTAGTGAACAATATTACTGTTGTATTGTTAAAAGTCCTGCTTTTACTGAGGTGTTTGTTGTGCGTGTTGGACCATGTGCCAAGTAGTGCTGTGTACCCTAAGATCCCGGAAGGTGAGCTGTGCTTCACAGAAATGGGTTCTTGAGCAATTAGGTTCTCCAAGAAGTCTTGCCAGACATAAAAAGACATCACAAGCAACAGTTACTCCTTTCAGCTAGGTGAGGAAATAATTTCCATCAAATTGGTTACAACATTTTGGGAATTCCGATTTGATTATCCTTTAGAGCAAAGTGGTATTAGTACCTGAAATGAGTCCAAAAATTGGGTCAGAAAAAAATGTAACTGTAATCGGCTTTCTGCCTTTTTAATGGGTTAGAATCCTTTTAAAAATGTGAATCTGGAAAATCAAAAATCTCTATTTTTGGTCTTTGATGTGCTGTTAGAGTCCCCTGTCCCCTTTGAGTTATGGTTTTGAGAGTGATGGAGGAAGCAGATTGTGGAAGCATGATGGTGGTCTGACCTACATTCTCTGGCTGAGTTCCACCTCTAGTGTTGCAAGATTGCTGTAGTACTACCCCGCTTACCCTGATTTCTCTTCGTGTTACATGCTTGGCTGTGGTGCAGATTGAAGTTGATATTCCTCGTTGCCATCAGTATGATGAATTGCTGTCATCACCAGAGGGGCACGCAAAGTTTAGACGTGTATTGAAGGCCTGGGTGGTTTCCCATCCAGATTTGGTGTACTGGCAAGGTGAGTTTGACTACTTGACAAGGTCAAATAATTAACTGGAAAGCTATGGCTGATCCCTCCCTCCCTAAATGTAAGCCCTTTTGAGTGCTTTCCTTTCTGTTTCTTTTGAAGAATAATCTGTGGGTTATTGCAAATTTGGATCCTAATGATTTATATTTAATTTGTAATGCCGAATTGCCCCACTCTCTTACATGTTTACTTTCCTTAAGTTTCAATCAGTTTACTGAAAAAAAAAAGTCTGTTGTTTACTGTTCAGTTCTAAGTTAAAACTGCAGAAGTCACTGTTTTCAGCATTACATGTAAATCCTGACATTGAGGATTTATAATCGGTATCAAGTATGCTGATTTTCTTGATAAATTAATGAATTTATCTTCTACATTACAATGAATGAGCTCTTTATGCCGTTTCTTCATGGTTCTTCTCTCTTTAGGTCTCGACTCTCTTTGTGCACCGTTTCTGTATTTGAATTTTAACAATGAAGGTGAGTAACTTTTTCTGCTGGGGGTGAAGGGGAAGCACATTCTGTCATCTCTGGTTGTAGACAGATGTGTCTGCACCCGCTTATAGATGTAAACTTTCTGTAGCTACAAAGGAATTTAAAGCTCTTGTTGCTGCTTGTCAAAAGAAATAGTTGCTTTTTGAAAAGTGTATGTTGTGTGCTGCTCTTCAAGCAGGGCTTCAAACCCTGTTAATTGCCAAGTACAATAATGAATATGTAATAAAAAGCACAAATAACTTTGATTATAGAAAAGCAAGAAATGCTTCTTTAGTACCTGTCTTTTTCAGTGAAGCTGTAGTTAAGCCTTGTGTAATGTAAATACAATATTTATTAGCTGTTAACCTGTCAGACTAGCTTTATTCAGAAAAGCTGATGATGGTTTTAAATGCCTAAAAGCTTATCAGTGTTGGATACGTGGTCTTTAGGATCTTAGAATGTGATTTGATCAGAATAGGTCTAGTCCAATCTTCTGTTCTCTTGCACTTGCCTTTCTTTATGTAAAATCTGTCTGTGGGAAAACTAGTTTCTTAGGACAATAGCTCCTAATATGCCTACTGTGCATACTGATTTAAACATTTCAACAGATTTTTCTTGCTTTTGCATATGTTTCTATATAGTTTGATTGTAGAACCTGGTTTCCTTCCCATTGAAGCAAAATATAATAGTATTGAATTAGGTAAAACTTTGTGTTCTGGTTTACAAACTTAATTGTACACATTTGACGTGGACGTTTTAAAAGTGGTTTCAGTGCCAGAAAAGTTATAACACAGAATTCATTTATACCACGATCGTATGTCTCATTTGCTATAAGGCTGACATTTTGCTTAGAAACTTCCAAATTATATTTATTGTCTTTGGACAATTTACGACAACCCCGGATTTCTTTTTTATATCTGTGGTCTAGCACCATTGCTAAAAATTATATTACAATAGATTATCTCTCAGCCAAGTTCCCAGGAATTAATCAAGGGGATAAACACTTACGTTTTTATCCTCTAATCTCTATTTGATATGTGTGTGAGGAGCCACTGAGAAATTGAAGATTTTTTTGTTCATCTCTTTGAAAATATTTTTAATTATATTCCACTCTGGTTTTTTTGTCTGAATAAACTTGGGTCTAAGTTCTGTAGGAGAAAACCCAGAAGACTGCAACAATGCAGTTGTCTTGAAACTGTCTTCTACAATTTTATTCATCCAGAGACCTTCACTTTTTGATACAAACATCATCTAATTACTTTGGCATGAGAAGTATGGAAATAAATTGGGAGCAGATCAGGTCCAGCCAGCTTTATATTGGCTACACGGTGACAGAAGGAGACTTTTTAGGAGCTTTTAAAATTATTTAATGAGGAATGTGTCCATTTTACGTGCTTTGTGTATAGATTGATTTAAGTATTTATGCTTATTGTCTCCTTAATAATGAATTTTTATGGTATACTTATGTTTCTATCTTTGTAGTTACATTTATTTTTCTAATTTTTTCAGCTCTGGCATATGCCTGCATGTCTGCTTTTATCCCCAAGTACTTGTATAACTTCTTTCTGAAGGATAATTCTCATGTTATTCAAGGTAAGTCAGTCCCTTTAATTTTTGTAGTTCTAGGAGAAGTAGAGTTATTTCTGGATATATAAATACATTTTTTCAAGTGGTAAAATCAGAACACGATTTGAATCACATGTAGAAAGGCCCACTTATTTCTTTTAAAAGCTTGATTTTAGATAAATAAGAATGACAGCTGTGCAAGAAAATAGGAATAAAATAAGTGGGTAAAGATCCAGGCAGGGAAAAACCCAACTGCACACACACGCTCACAAAAAAACCCCAAAAATGTTTTGTGTAATGTCCAAGTTAAGGGCCAGTTGATCGTGCAAAGTTATAAAATGAGGAAATACTCTTTACAGTGTTAGATTGTAAAGACTAATTGCTCTCTTCTTGGGAGCATGGAGGAAAAGGAATTGCCATCTGTTAACAAACTGCAGTGTTATTGCTTCTTTATCTTCCTTCTAACAAAGCATATGACAGTGTGGACAAAACTGGGAGAGGGGCAGAACAGAGAGGAGAAAATCTGTCAGTGTCTGTGTTCTGCTGTCTGCTTCTCTTCCAATTAAAAGCAAGTGTTATTTAGAAAACTTAATGAAATCTCACCCATCAGCCTAATGTACCGTGCTGAAGATGCAATAAATTTTATCTTTTACAATAAGTATTTCTCCTCATCTGCTCCAAAAAATACAAATTAAGATGTTACTGATCATGGAAATGGTAATGTTAAAGCCCCATTGCCTTAAAACCTCAGCTCCCGGATTTCAAAATTTAACTTTGTAGAAACAAGATCACACAATATAATTTAAAGATTATAAACTTTGTGTGTCACTAAAACAGTTTGGGTCTTAAAAATCCTTGGAACGGTCTTGTTCTAATTTGCTTCCATCAGTATCTTGTGGCTCATACTGAAAAGTCTTCAGCTTTGCATGTTGAACATACTTCACAACCTAAGTATGATCCAAGTAAACTGTTGTTGAAAATCCAAATTGAGAAGTTTTAAGGAAGAGAAATGAAACTTTTCGTCCTCTATTGAATATAATGGTGACAAAGAGGGCAGTAGTGGTATTCACTTGCTGGTTTAATTTTGATTTTAAAAAAAATTAAAAAGATAAGGGTTTTTCCCTTTTTTTTTTTTTTTAAGCTCTATTGTGAGCTAGCAGCATGTGGTAGCATCATTGATGATGATCTTGAATTTGCCTGTCATTTCAGAATACCTGACAGTGTTTTCCCAGATGATTGCATTCCATGATCCAGAGCTGAGTAACCACCTTAATGAAATCGGGTTTATTCCAGATGTAAGTGCTAAGGGTTCTTATATAAATATTGTTCAAAGGAAGTAAAAATGGAAAATGAGGGCAACTATGATGAGATGTCTTTACAGACTGTTTCCATAGCAGTTTGACAGAAGTGAAATGTGCATATTAATGAGCTTATGAAAAATATATTTTTATTTTTGAAGTCTGGCTTTATATACAAAAATTAATGTGGCCATAAAGGACTAATAACAAAATTTCTGCAAACTAATTAAATGCCATTGCTTAACACAAAAGACATGTAAATTTGCAAGCAATACAAAAAACACGTGCAAGTGATAGTTAATCTGTAGATATGTGAGACCTTGGAAAATGCTTTGCAATCAGTTGTTGGAATCTGTCAGAAACATTGGACAAGTGCATAACTTGGGTCTTACATTTTATGTTTTCTTTGGAAGAAGTCTGTAAAATGGAGGAAAAGGAAAACTGAGAACACAGCCAAAATGTAGTAGAAAATGTGTTGGAAAAGGCCAAACAAGGCCTTCTTTAGGTCCTCACTTTTGCACTCAATGAAAATATTGTCTGCCTACTATAGCATTATCAAATCTTATGGCAAATGTTTCTGTGAAGTAGATTTAGGCAAGGCTACAGAGAGAATGCTATCAATTGATACTGTCTATATCATGATATATTTGACACTTAGAATTTTGGTAGTTACAAGTTGGTCATAATAACAGTTGATTGAGCAGTCAAATTGGATGAAGGAAACTGAAATGAGGAGATATTGATGTAGAAATATAAATTTCATAAATAAGAAATTTATATGCATTTCTTCTATAGGCAATCTAAAGCTCATTTTCTCAGAAAAGCCTTATGCTTATTAGGAAATGCTTTAAGTTGAAGTAGCGAAGCCAAGCCTCTGAAAGTCATTTGTTGCACACAATTCCTGGGTGAATTTGTGTGTCTTTGGGACTGGCAGATACTCATTATCACTTTTTACAAAGATTGTAGTGGAAAAGCAAACACATGCTTTCATTTGTAGAGGTGTTTTTAATGTAATAATGTTGTTTGAGTGATAGAAATTTAAAAGATACTGTGGCACTAGAATGAGCAGAAGAGAAAGCCAGTATATTTTGTCATGGGCACTAGTTCCCACTGAAGAGGTGTAGATGTCATTTTCCTGACCGTCTTAAAGATCCCTGTTTCTGCTGCAAACCTACACGAGAGCTCTGTAGCAACCCATCTTGGATGTTCGCTGATCTTTCAGCAGCTCCTAGTGTCTGCTTATACATTTATCATTTTCCACTGAAAACTTTCAAGGTGCGAGTCAGATGGAATAGTTAAAAATCACCTGTTTTGTTATATTTTAGGGTTTGTGTTTTGCTGGTCGTCGGACAACACATAGTCAAATGTGAGCTTTGTTTTTAGGTGTTACAGTCTAGAGATGATTAAGTAATGCAGTAAATAATTACAAAATAGAGGGGTTTTTTTAAAGAAAAAAACCAACACTTTGCATCAAATACAAATGCTAGTTCTGAAGTTAGCACTAACCTCTGAAGAAAGATTCTCCTTTCTTTTTTCTTTTTTAATATATATAAATAAAAGTTATTATGCCTTTTAGATTAGTGAGAGAGGTGACTCTTGTACCTGTAACAAGACAGCACAAGATCCATCAAGGTGAAGGATACGCACTGCAGTAATGAGATCCCAACCAGAGTTTTGTGCTTGAGAGTACTAATCCTATCAAAATAAACCCTGATTGATCTTTCATCGTTGAAGCGCAGGCTCCACCGAAGGGAAGATTGTGTTTCCTGGCACCCTTCCCATTTGCTTTGGGTCACTTAGCTCTCAGAATATTGAACACTACTGAAGCTGAAATAGTTCTAGGTGTTGTTAGCTGATGTGGTGCTTGGATTGAGTACATGGCTGTGGCTATGTGATTTACATGTAAATAGAGAGATATATATATGGTGAATCTTAACGGTTGTTTTCATGATATGCAGGAGGTGTCGGTGATAGGGCTTCATCCAGCTGAGAATTAAAAATCCTGCAACTGCAGTACTCTATCTCTGTTTGCTCTGTTCCTTGATTACTTAGTGGTGAATGTGAGGGAGAGGTTTCTTGCTGGTATATTTATCTTGTGAGGAAAACAATCATTTTTCAAATTTTGTTTGTGTGGGTGCATATAGGTAGGGAAAATCCAATATTAAAAATTTTACTCAATCGGATTCTCTTTGCATCCCCAGTCATCAAAACATTTTTGCACCTTTCTGTAGCATTTAAATATATGATTAATTTTCTAGGCACCACATAGGCTTGAAACTAAGTATGTGTGTATGTATTTTGAAGACAGAACATGAAGGTGCAAGATGAGGGTTTTATAGAATAAACTATTTCAATTGAAAGGGACCTACAATGATCCTCTAGTCAACTGCCTGACCGCTTCAGGGCTGACCAGAAGTTAAAGCATGCTGTTAAGAACATTGTCCAAATGCCTCTTAAACACTGACAGGCTTGGGGCATCCACCACCTCTCTGAGGAGTCTGTTCCAGTGTTTGACCACCCTCTCGGTAAAGAAATGCTTCCTGATGTCAAGTCTGAATCTCCCCTGATGCAGCTTTGAGCCATTCCCACGTGTCCTATTGCTGGAGATAGCAGGCAGAAGAGATCAACACCTCCCTCTCCCCTTCCCCTCCTCAGGAAGCCATAGAGAGCAAAAAAAAGTTTTTCTTAACAAGTGAAAATTAAACCAAAAAGTAGCAGTTGGGAGGCAGCCTTGTTAGGACAACTCAGCAAAATAAAATCCCACTTTATTATTGAACAGCATAGTTTCATATACATCAAGCAGGCCAAAAGAAAAAAATAATCAGCAACTTCATAGACAGAAGGAAAACCAAACTTTTTTATCTTTGGCCTTGCCACCTCATACAAACCATGATCTGTTGTACAGCTGAAGTATATACACACAAAAAAAAAAGCTACTGGAATGGTCAGTATAAGATTGTAAATATTTATTTTTTTGTTGCATTTTTGTCTTTTTAAATTTTTTTTTTACAAGGTTTTGATTTGTTCTCCTTTGAGATAACGTTTTGGGCCTGGTTACACCACAAATGTAAAGTTAGAGATATACAGTCAAAGCTCCCCTTTTGGTCAATCTAAGAGCACTTAAAAGTGGCGGACCTCCTAACTATGTGCAAAAATATAAAATGTTAATAAAAAGTATAAAAAAATTTTCCTTTAAACGTAGAATACTTGCCCACATTAACTACCACTGTTTTGGTATTAAACGTAGAATACTTGCCCACATTAACTATCACTGTTTTCGTTCTTGTATTCTTCTAAGTTGCTTTGAGAAGGAAAGGTTCAAACATAAAAAGAATCTTGAAAACTGAAAGTAGTGTGAAATATATGCTATAGCATAGGGGGTTTTGTTATCCATCTTCAAGTAATTTTTGTAATGGTGAAGACATGACAGTTTCCCAGTTTAAAATAACACACTGCATTGAATGACAGATGGTCAGGTGAGGATTCTTCTACAAAAGTTTGCAAGAATAATGATTACTCCTAGCGTGTTTGATATCTTTAAAACTGTAGGTATTTAACCTTGATCTCAGCTCTGTAATTCTATGACATGTGGAAGATGAACTTTTTCAGAGATTCTTTGAATTTTCTTAGGGGTTTGTGGTAAACTGAAGTATTATATGCATGCATAATGAACAAGAACTTGTGAATAATGTTGACACATTTGATGTTTTGAAAATTCAAACCTTCAATTTTAAATAATTCATTTTCGTTATCCTGCAACCAGGTGCATAGCTTCACTGTAGCTGCCTTATGATGTTCTTAAGGTGCACCTGGCTCATATAGGACAGCTCTTATCCTGCAACCAGGTGCATAGCTTCACTGTAGCTGCCTTATGATGTTTTTAAGGTGCACCTGGCTCATATAGGACTTTATTCTTACAGACTTAACCACAAAGCAAGAAGCTTGTGTATGCCTTCTAATACTCCCTACCATCCTCACCAACAAACAGTAACACTCGTTTTCACCTCGGAATCGTCATAGAATCAAAGAATATGTTGGGTTGGAGGGGACCTTTAAAGTCCAACCCCCCTGCAGGGACATCTTTAACTAGATCAGATTCCTCAGAGCCTTGCTGTCCCTTCTAAAATATCTTTAGAATCAAAATCCACGGAGCCTAAGTATCTTTAAAACTATTGTCTCTACAGTTGACATCTCAATCTTCTGTATGCACAAGTGTGTAAAGCTCTAATCTGCTGGAGGAGCAGTCAAAGAACAAAATGATCCAGGCAGTACTAACAGGCAATAATAAAATCCTTGAGGAAAAGGCTTTCTTCAAGATTTGAGCCCCTAAGTATCTTTAAAACTATTGTCTCTACAACTGACATCTCAATCTTCTGTATGCACAATCATGTAAAGCTCTCGTCTGCTGGAGGAGCAGTCAAAGAATGAAATGATCCAGGCAGTACTAACAGGCAATGATAAAATCCTTGAGGCTTTCCTCAAGATTTGAGCAAATGCCTCTAAAAACTTTGAATGTTTAATGGGAGATGCACACGTTTCAAAATACACTCATCTAACTATGGGCAAATAAATATCTTCAGCCTGCTGAAAACAATGAACTGCATCTCCAAGCTCAAGTACTGAGCAGAATTGTCATAGCAGAGCACCATTGGAGAGGAACCTTCAGCTAGGGATAATGGAAAGATGGAGAATGAAACTAAGCTCAAGGTTAAGAGATTTCAATTTTATCTAAAAAACAATATTGTGGTTTTATTCAGATTGAAAAGGAACTGGTGTTAGGGAACTGCTGTCTTTTATATAAGAAATGTTCAGGTCCTTACTTAAAAGCAAGAAAAGAGCTTGTATTTTACTAGCAAAGCAAAATTATAATTGTGGCCTTGCTGATCTCAAACTCACTCTAAAAAATGAAGTATTGGTTTTACAGACTTTTATTTTAATGTGACTTATTCCCAGGCCATTCCAGCAGTTCAAAGGATACTTTGATTAAATATTAGGTATGCTTCCCAGATATAGAGAGTTAAGCATGAATAAAATAATTTTCAGTAGACAAGGGTTGAAATCCTCTTTGGCAGCAGCCTGGTGGTAGAGAGGCATGGCACAGCGTTGTTCCAGCTGGAGATTGCTAGAGGGCAGTATTTACTAATAATATGTTAAAACTGCAGTCAGTTAACTAAAAGAATTTGCTATCTTATTTATTTGAGGACTTCAAGTCAGTGCAGTTCTTCTTTTTGTCTGTGTTTTTTAATTTGACTTGCATGATGGAATAATACCACCAGTGTTGTGGTGTTTCTTTGCTTATTAATAGTAATCATAATCTTTTCATGTGTACCAAAACCTTGTCTTAGAATAGTGTATTTGTGAAAATCTGGGGGAAAAAATCCCTTCAGTAAAAACTTGCCTGTTACCTTCTACTGGAATAGTTTGACCTACTTTTCATGTCACTATTGATAGGTTCAGTGAGGATGATTTAGAGCAAAGAGGTGCTTTGCCCTGTTTTTACCTTTTAGTAATCTATTTAATGTTTCAGATTTTGTATATTTTCTTGTATATTTCTTTGTAGGCGCAGGCAAGATAGAGATGTTTGTGTGTGAAATTAGGGGACAGTGCAGGTCTGCCTTAGTAAACGTCTTAATCAAATATGTGAAAAGGAGGAAATAATTGCTTTTAAATACCAAGAAAGTAATGTAGTTCAAGATGGCATCTGCATAATATGTGCCTCCGAGCAGTGGAGCCTCAGGCTATTAGGAATGCTTGTTTTCCTGCTGGGTGGAAAGAAAGATATTGCATACAAGCAAGCAGGTGAACAGGTCTTAGCTGATCACAATCACTGTAGGGGATATTTCAGGGAACAGGGTGTGTTATTTTTCAATAGAGAGCCATCTATTGGAGGCACAACAAAGTTATACTCAGGGAAATAGCATGAATGTATTATAAGACCAAAATGGTGATAGAAATGGATTGAGTTTGGATTTTGAACCCTTAAAATCAACTGATGGGTTGGAGGCCAAGCTTTATAGAAGCCTCCTGAATATTGAGATTGTAGGATGCTCTGGTCATCACAGCGCTTGTAATCTTATGAATAGAGATGAAGATGTAGGAGTAAAATTTAGAGAGCTGTGCTAAACAACTTTTCAGCAAATGTGTGCGTCATTTAATCAGTGCCATAACCCAGTTAGGAATTTATGGAATAAATAGTAATTTATTAACATAATATCGATTATGCTTTCTGCATCTCATTGGCTTACTTCCAGGGAAAGCTTAATAGGAGGACTAATTTCCACTTTTTATGAGCTAAAAAGTAATATATTATGCTTTATGTCTAACTGTAAATCTTCAGAAGTGGAAAACAGAGCACATGAGCTATGCAACTGAGTAAAATTTAACAATGGTGACGTCGCTTTTGCATTCCTGATTTTTGAGGACTTTCTGTGCAGTTTGATGTCTCAAGAACATAGATTCTGTTGCCTTCAACGCGCTAAATACTTCAGTGAAAATTAAGAAACTCTTAAGGTGTCAGAAATGCTTAGCTCTTCTAATACGTACTGAATTTTCTCTGTATGATGTCAAGACTATGAAAGTTTGCAGAAATTAAAGCCTTTCTGTAGCTATTGCAGCAGCACAAGTTCTTAGACAGTTTTGTAGTGGTATGAGCGCTGAAGCAGCCTCAAATTCTTCAGATGATACCTACCTTTAAAGGTCACAGTAGAACAACACAAGGCATAAGATGTTAGTATTTGACAGTATGTGCTTTTGAGAACGAATCCATTCTTATTTCCTTTCACTGACAATTGTGCATTTAAATCCATTCTTTCCAAGCTAGGCAATTTTTAATGTAGTAGATAGTTGTCACAAACACCTTAAGCTCTTAATATAACATTTTTTGTTGTTGTTCTCTTCCCCACCACCACCTTTTGCAGCTTTATGCTATTCCTTGGTTTCTTACAATGTTTACACGTGAGTACACACTCTTTTTCTCTGATTAAACGTTCTTGTATTTCTAAAAGTAACATTTTCAGCTAAAGTCTTCTTAATTGGTGTGATGTGTCTATCACTTTTATTGCTTGTAATTTGCAAGGATGTGTTGTGATTTGAGGCTCAGCAGTGCCTGTCATACTTTCTGCCCTGACTTGATAAAAGTTAGCATTTTCTTATATTTTTTTTTAAAAAAAGTATTATACTGAATTTGAACTGGATTATTTCATGCATGCAGTATTTAGGGAATGTGCAAAGGAAGCCATTATCTACTAGAAAAAGATATAATAGTTTAAAAACCAAAACCAAACCTCACCACCTTCCCCTGCCCTCACCCAGATATAGTAAAAAAGAAAGTAACTTTGATTCTGAAGGCCAACAAAACAAGGTGATTTTCTTAATCCTAATTAAACACGTTGTTATTTTGCTAGCAGTAATTTACTATGATACTTGTGCATGTATGTTAGGAACAAAAAGAGCTTTATAATTTGGTGAGCTTTTAATGAACGAGGATAAAGTTAATAAAGCACATCTTGAAAGCAATTCAAAATCTTTTCTCAAAGATCTGTGTGATTTTATTATTTTTTTTCATGTCAATATTGGCATACTTTGAATTAAAAAAAAATGTGGCAGGATGAAAAGAGCTGATGGGTTGTTTATCTGTTGAAATATCAAAGAATATCATGTGAGATTTTTGATTGCAATTTCTAAAGATCTTGACTGTAAAGCACTGGTCCATGAGAATCATGACCTTTGGAAAGCCAAAGGGATGGTTTCCTTGGCAATGAATTGTACTAAAATGTTAGAATTATTGAGTTGAAGGATAACTTATTTCAGGAGAGCCACCTTCAGCTTTATATGTAAGATGTTGCTATTTTTAACAGGCTTTTCTCCTTGTCTTTCCTTTTATTCTGCCAATTTTTGCTCCATTCTGTTCATTTTCTTGACGAATTTTAAGTAGTTGAGCTTATTGATTAATTCGTTCATATCTTTGTACTATTGGAAAAACTGATACACATGTCCTAATGCATAATTGCACTGTTCCAAAAGAAAAATAATTGCCTAATTTTGTGTGTGTGATTGAAATCTGAAAACCTGCATATTTCTAAGTTTAATAATGAAAGAAGACACTGATTTTCAGAACAGTCAAGCTGTATATGAAGACAAACCTGTTTCTAAACAGGTTGAGTCCTTTTTGCTCCCTAGTAAAAACAAAATAACCCTAAGAAAGGGGAGGAAAAAAGTGTGTAGACAAATCCTTAAGAGTGTGTGTTTATGTTTTATATCAACGTGTATGCTTATAGTGTTTTGTTTCTTTTTATTGTGCTTGTTCATCATGCAGATGTCTTTCCTTTGCACAAAATTTTTCATTTGTGGGACACGTTACTGCTTGGAAATTCCTCCTTCCCCTTCTGTATTGGAGTTGCAATACTTCAGCAACTGAGGGATCGTCTTCTGGCTAATGGATTCAATGAATGCATTCTCCTTTTTTCAGACTTGCCAGGTACAGAAAAAAAGCCCCAAACATTCCTTCTCTCTTTTGCTGTATTTTCCAGTGTGTTGCTGAAGAAAGTATGTGCTTGCACGTGTTTTGAAATCATAGTGAATTTAGGCAAGCTCACTGTCAGGATGTGTAGGTCTCAGCTACAGCTTGATGAAGTTAGTAGAAGTCTTTTTGCTGTCGTCAGCAAGAAGTGGGTGAGCTTGTTGTTATTTCCAGGTGAAGATTGGATTACTTTCTTGTGAAATTTAGACCAATTTTAAATAATTCATAAGTGACCGTGTGTAGACATGCCACGTATAGAAACAATCCAGTTGATAGGATTCCTTAGTGAAAAAAAGCTTAGTGCTATTCTGAACAGTGCTTTTCCACTGGTACTAGCCTGTTTTTCTTTCAAAAACAATTAAAATTTTGTTGTGGAAGCAATTAATATAAAAGAGGTAGGGAGAGTAGTGTAAAAGCCATGGGAATTGCTTTGTGTTAAATCAGTTTCCAATTGAAATGTGAAGCTTTCAGAAAGCCCTAAAATCAGATCAAAGGCTACATGATCGTTGTGCAGAAGTTCCGTTGTCTTGTTCAGCAGGAGGTTGTTGCCCTATCCATACAAGCAAGTGTTGCATCTTAAAAAATTAAAAAATAAAAAAAAATTGCAATCAACCATGAAGTTTGGGGAGCGAGTTTCTAGTGAGACAGTAAAATGCATTTGAACTGAGTAAGCCCCGTGAACTGAAAGATGTGTTTCCATTTGTGATGGACTAATATTTACATAACACAGGAATTGGAAGGCTACTGCACCCTGAACATACTTATGTTCTTGTATTAATACCCTCTCTCCAACCCAGGATCTTACTAATGTAACCAAGACCTGTATTAACAGGTCTTGGTTAAGAAGTGACACTTTTAATTGTGTAGCCTTTCTTAAGATAACTAACTTTTGACTAATTCCTGGCCTAATTATAGATTTAGTGGGGTCTGTTTGAGCACCAAGTGTGCAATTCAGTAATTCATAATCCGTTTAAACAGCAGTCATTCTTTTTCAGAAGAACTGAATGAGAGAATCAAGTTTGGAAGAGCATTTAAGCTTAGAAGCTCTTGTTATGTGTGACTGTCTCCACAACTGCAGTTACAGAGGTTAGGAGTAGTCTAGGATATGGCAGGAAGTGTTCTGAGGCTAAGTTTATAGTTGCATAAATCAGTCTCTCAGAAGCTCACTGAGTTCTCACATATGAAGCTCTGTAATTCTGTAATTTCTCTCAATATTATTGTCACAAATTCTGTGTTTCTCTGTATACCCTTGAACATGCGTTAGGATTTCAAAATTTTGCTTTCCTGCTTTAGTTTGATATTTTTGAGCCTGGCTCTGGGGAAGAATGAAAAAAGGTGATTTTGAGGATTACATCACCAGGAAAGTGCAGAGCCCTGTGGCTTGTGGGGTGATTAAAGCACTTCCCAGGGACAGTGAGAACAAGTAACAGTTTTCCCTCCTGGCACCTTTAGTGTGGAAGCAATCGCTGGACACTTGGAATTTTTGAGCCTAGCCCTGGGGAGAGTGAAAAAAACTTTCAGTTTAGTATGTACTATGCAATTGCTACTATATTTTTCAATTTCTAAGAAATTTAATTAGGCCATTCCATATGGTGTGTGTTGGTTGGTCTTTTTTCATTTTCAGTCTATATACTTAGGCATTTCAAATGTCCTTATTAAATTTAACTGGATATCTTCAGATGGTCTGAAAGGTGAGAGCTAACCTAAAAGATTTTCTCTCTCCCCTTTTCCTCCTCTGCCATCTATTAGCTGTGTGTCTTAGTTAAATATAGATTCATTAATATTTAACACATTTACTTGCCTAAGGTCATTTCTCCCTATTTTTTTTTCCTTGAGTGGTTCTAAATTATATATTCCCATTTATCTTGAACCACCTGATTTACTGACAGTTGAAGTACTTTACGCTGAGGTCATGATAAGAACATATTATTTCTCATAATACATATCTGTTTATATAATAGAATTAAATCACTAAAATATGTAGTGTTATAATGTCCATACTTTCTGCTGATTACAGTTGATGACAACTTTGCTGATGCTATGGTAGGAAATCTTTTGGTACAACAGCCTTTCTGAAAAGACTTATTTTTTTAATGTGGTGATATCTGCAGTATTTTGCATGTAAACAGTGGCACAATTTGAATATTGTGAGATTAATCCAAAGAATATTATCAATTGACTACTATGGGAAAAAGAGAATGAGGAGGGAAGATGATCCTAGTGTGACTTAAAAGTTGTTATTGCTCTAGCTGAGACTTCTGTAATCAGTGATTTCTTTGAAGATATAATTATCATAGCCCTGTGCCTTCTTCCTGACCCGAGTCTTATTTCTGAATTAAGAAATATGGACTGTGTATGGGTTTTGTCACCTCTGTTTTCCAAACAGGAATTCTGTTAGTTTGGTTAAATTGTGTGCCATGCCTGAGAATTTTCTGACAGTAACTTACAAACAGCTTTCACCTGAAACTGGGTCACCCTGAGGAAGAGATTATGTTGTTTAAAACATCTGCCATAATTTCAATCTAAAATCAATTGTTGCTCAACAGCCTGAAACTCCTGGGGTTTTTAAGCTTTCTATGCACTGAAATGGCTTATCTCAGACTGCCAGTGAAAGCAACCTGCTTTCCAGAGTGATAAAGCTATTTTACTGCAATCCAGCAACTTTGTGGAACACTTTTTTTAAGATTTCTTGTTTTTATTTCTAAATAAGATTTATTTAGAATAAATTTATTTCAGCTATTTTTAAAAATGTATATTTAAAGTTTAAAAAAACAACCAGCAACACTGCCCTATTTCCTGCTCACTGCATATAAGGCAGTTTGAATTACTGTTTTAAAAAGTTAATGATTTGAGGAAAAAGAAGGGACACATCACCATTATTGATTACTTGATTCTAAAAAACCCTTTCCAATACTTGTCTCAAAGCTTTGGCCATGTTTTGTTTATAAACCCAATACAATCAGACATTACTTGCATTTTTTTGGGGAGTTTTATTGGAAATTTTAATTTGTTTTTATATAGTTTTAACAATGATTATTGTAGCTTGACTTGATTACAAAGTTCATTACCCACTCTACAAGCAGTATGAGGTCACCAGTGCGTTTTATTAGGGAACAGACCCAGAAGGAAGCATCCAGATAGGTACAGCTCTTTGCAAACAGTTGAAGGATTCCATAAACCAATTCATTCCCACCTGGAATGGGTGCAATATAGGGCCTGGCAAACAGCTCTTCCTCCAGAGATCCATGCCAGTATCATCACTGACATACAGACATTAATTATGGTCTTGAGAAAGGGATAGGACAACTACCAAAAGATGGGGACAGATGCTATGAGAGAATGGGTAAACACCAATCCTTGCCATGAGAGAAAAGATACTTTCAAAGATGCCTTGTAGGGTTAGTTCACACAACAACCTCATCTTCTGTAATTTTGGAGTGAAAGAAAGGTTTGTTCTTTTAATGCTACGCACCTTAGGATGGTGATTTTTTGCTGACTCCAGGCTAGTCAGTGCTTCCAAAAGAAGAACGTCAACCTCAGACAGGAAATCCAGAAAGACTGATGGTGGAAAAGCAGTCCAGTGCAATGAGGAGTTACAGTAAAAATGTTAAAGTGGAAAATGTAGAGGATTCTACTTTGTAAGACACAGGCACGTAGGAGGCAACATGTAGTCAAAGATCTAGCTATCACTAAAACCGCAAAAATGGTTCTCCAAGGAACAGGGTTTCTCTTATTTGGGAGAAATAATTATATCTGTTACTATTATAGTGATGTACCAAAATGCTGAATTCCATGATGGTGAAAGCCGTATACATGCTTAGAAGGATCACATCCAGCTCAGAAATGGACTAAAGATTTTAAAATAGCAGAAATTCTACACTAAGATTGCATGGTGCAGTGTTGAATGATGTGTTTCTGCTGACAGCAGCAGTTAGATGCACATCAGAGACCTCCACTTGAGAGATGTATCTGACCCTCGGTAGCTACTATTTTACTTTCCGTTGTTTTTCTGCCTGAAAATCCTTTGTCTGCCCACATCTGTGATTCATACGCTTTTATTGTGCCAGAATTTCTGGTGGTTCAGCATTTAGCTAATTAAGATTTGCTAGGGGGAAGAAAATGGCAGTTGACCACCAAGCCCACACTGAGTTTGTGGGTGTTTTGGTGCCTGTTCCCATTTGTTTCACCACTTTTTGAATAAAAATGTAAACACTGAAAAACAAAACACAAATGTAAACTCAGAACACCAACGTTGAAGAGACTGAAAGAGAGACTTCTGTGTGCCAGTGAGCAGTGGAAAAACAAAGGTAATATGTTGTTTTGATGAGGGTTTGACTATCATACGGTTTTGAAAATGTCCTATTTCTTAGATTAAGGCTCTGAGGAATAGACATCGTAATAGCTCTTTTAAAACCAAACTTTTTTCCTAACTTCAGCTATGAGATTTTGACACGTGGCTTTGTTGTAGCTTGCCCAAGTTCAAAACTGGTGTTCCCCGTGGAAGGTGACACAGCAAGGTGATTTATGTCGGGTTAGTGAAGCTTTTTCAAATGACAGTATATCTGAAGAAGAACAGCAGTTTGGTCTCTGTCACATGATGCGCATGATAATGGTGCTAAAAGTAAAAATTAGATCACAAATATCAAAAGAGATCAGAAGTACAGAAGGAAATTGTGTTTCTAGTTTTCGTGAAAGATGTAGATTGGACTGATATTTATGGAAACATCTTTTTCTGAGAATATTCCTCATCTTTGCTATGTTAGGTGCCTTTTTTAGATACAAGTGGTGGATGTATTTTACAGTGCAATTACTGAAAATTTATTGTTGCTAAATAATAGCACTTATGAAGCAAAAACTGTATAGCTGCTTGTAAGTGGTTTTTTGCTTGTTTTGCTGCTTTTTTCTTTTCTTTTTTTTTTCTTTTTTTTAATGGCCTACAGCCAGCTGTGGGTTGGGAG